ACATATATATATATATACATACTCACACAAATATATATATATATATATATCCTATTAATTCACAAATTCTCATACCGGCATGTATCAATTATTATGCTATCACGTAATTATTAAATCAGATAATCACGTATTAAATACCTTGGGTAATAACCAGGATCTGGTTATCACACCAGACAACCTTTGGCGATGCCTAAGTCGTAGAACACGTCGTTCGCACATCATAGAGTCCTCTTACGCGTATTATCACATGTGATAAGGGTGTTCTCGCGTTCTCGTAAAATGAAGGTATTCTTGTTTGAATCTCCACCTCTATATATATATATATATATATATGTTGTGCATGTTTTCAGGTGATTGGTTTTTGTAAGGGTTTTCAAAAATTGTATTGTTTTGAAAAGTTATTTACTTCTAATAATTTTATAAAGTGTGATTCTAATTGAAGTAAAAGTGTGTGATTATCTGATCTATCAAGACTTTGACATAATACTCTACAAAATGGCTTCCATTCCATCATATCAACTTTATTAAAAAGTTGATTAAACATTAATTTTGACTCTTTAATCCTCTATTAGTTTTTCATAAATAAAATAATTTTATAATATTTACGATGATTATAGTTTCAAATCTATTATATATTTTAGATTTTATTTGATGCAAAATCTACGTAACAAATAACAATTAAATGATCATCCTTTCGTTTCGTAACAGTTACTTGAGACATTATTCAAACTTTTTATGAATCTATAATATGTTATATATAAGTCTTTTCTTGTGTTGAATATGATATAAAACCAAACTCATATTTGTTATAATATTTTTGAAAGAAAGGTTTTTGGGTTGCTTCACGTGTATGATTTTTTAAAAATGCAAAGATCTATTTATTTAATATATAAAACTAAAAATGTATTTCATATATGAAAATTGGAATATTAGGAAGCCAACTATAGTAGACTAAATTACATGACTTATATGTTTTAACACATTAAGTCCCTAATTTTAAATATCTATGCATTACAGTCTTGTAGTTTGCTACTTTTAACGTATTGGGTCTATGTTTTGTTAGATTTTCTTTTAATAGGTTAATTAAGAAGGTATTTTGACCATAGGAACTAGACATGTAATTTACTTTATATATATTGTATATATATATATATATATATATATCATAATTAATAATACATATATTGTGTATATATATAGCACATTTCAAGTATGACACGAACTATTTATACAACCAATACAACCTTATTTAACCCGTCTATTTTATTTTATTTTTTTAATTTTTAATTGATAATCTGTAACTATTTTTTACACATCATCAAATGTTCTTCGTAGATAAACTAATTAATGATTAGGATAAGGTTGTGTTAGTTGTATAAATGAAATATATATATTACATTTGGCTAAATACACGAAATAGAACCCACTTTCACCAATTCTTATTATAGCATTGTATTTATTATTATTTTCGTATTACAACAAGCATACTTTCAAATTATTTTTTTATTAATGCATTCTATTTTGAAAAGTTTAATATTATAGCAAATGGTAACCTTTTGATTTGAATTACCATGACATGATGTTTCCATGTCATGTCATTGATCACGTGTAACATATTGTTGACCTGATATTACACTTGGCTAAATACATGAAATAGCAACTCACTTTCACAAATTTCTTTATTATAATATTGTACTTTCAATTTTTCATATTATAAGAAATATACTTTCAAATTATTTTTTGTTATTAGTGCATTGTATTTTGAAAATTTTACTATTATAGCAAATACCATTTTGATTTGAACTACCATGACATGATGTTTCCATGTTATGTCATTGATCACATGTAATATATAGCTAACATAATATTTTCTTGTTTTATATATATATATATATATATATATATATATATATATATATATATAGAGAGGCCTAATCAAATGAGAACTAATTAGTTTGTGTTAACTGTGAGAACCAATATTAACCACAAATCAATAGATAAATTAGAAAATTTATAAATTTGGCAATTTTGAATTAAAATATTAATGCAAGGATATTTTTGGTATTTTAAAACTTTCCTCCCTCCTCTCTTCTCTCTCCGGCCACCGTCCTCCGGCCACCGTCCGCCTGCCACCGTCATCCGGTGATACTACAATGGTATCACAATGCATCATATATGTGCTTGGGTATCACATTGATGTCGTTTGTGTGGTCGATCGAAGATGTAACACAGTGGTATCACTATGCATATTATATATGATTAGGTATCACAATGTATCTTTTGTTTAATAGAGTCAATATTTTTAGGTATCACAGTGGTATCATAGTGGTATCACCGGAGGACGGTGGCCGAAGGCCGAAGAACGGTGGCCGGAGAGAGAAGAGAGGAGAGAGGAAAGTTTTAAAATACCAAAAATATCCTTGCATTAAGATTTTAATTTAAAATTACCAAATTTATAAATTTCCTGATTTATCTATTGATTTGTGGTTAATATTGATTCTCACAGTTACCACAAACAACTCAGTTCTCCCTTGAATAGGCCCCTATATATATATATATATATATATATATATGTGTGTGTGTGTGTGTGTGTGTGTGTGTATATATATATTACATTTGGCTAAATATATGAAATAGCAACCATTTTCACAAATTTCCTTATTATAGTATTGTACTTTCATTTTTTTCGTATTACAACAAATATACTTTTAAATTATTTTTTATTAGTACATTGTATTTTGAAAATTTTACTATTATTGCAAATGGTAACCTTTTGATTTGAATTACCATGACATGAAGTTTCCATGTCATGGCATTGATCACGTGTAACATATTGCTGACCTGATATTTTCTTATTACAACATTTTATTTTCAAAAGTTTTAACTTTACATATTATTTAAAAAGCATATTAAATTAATCATAAAAATATAAATTGTTCATTAATGTAATGATATTAAGAAGACTTGCAGATCACAATTTATCTCGCTAACATTTAAAAAATGTATTTACTTGAACAAATAAAATAAAAATTGTTACTTTCTTTACAAACAAAATATCTATGTTGAAAAGAATACATATCTTGTTTTCTTTTAAAAAAATTGACATGACATATTATTTAATAAATATATTAAATTAATTAAACAAATTCTAAATTATTCATTAATATAACAATATTAAAAAGATTTGTAAATCACACATTTTATAGCGCTAACATTTTAGAAACATGTTAACAAATATGTGTTCTTAGTAAGTAAATAATATGTATTACGTTTCTCACAAATACAATATTTATCTTGAAAAAATATATTATATTTGTTAATGAGTAATTTTTTCAAAATACAATGTCTTAATAAGAAATAATTTAAAAGTATATTGTTGTAATAAGAAAAAATTAAAGTACAATGCTAGAATAAGAAATTTTATAATGATAGATTGTTATTTCTTGCATTTAGCCCAAATATAATATATTTACACTATATATTATTAATTGTTAAGTGTGTATATATATATATATATATATATTATACAATATGTATAGAGTAAATTACATGTCTGGTCCCTATGATTAAAATGACCAAAATGCCCTCTTAATTAACCTATTTAACCAAAAAAAATCTAACGGAGTTAGTGCAAGAGGCTCAATGCGTTATAAATTACAAACCACAAGGTTGTAATACACTGATATTTTAAAATAGGGATCCAATGTGTTAAAACACAAAAACCACATAGACCAATCATGTAATTTACTCATATTCGAATACTTTTGAGTTTATATGACCACCAAGTGCATGTATTACATACATATGTTATAGTAAGTTGATAGACCGAAGAGTTCTTTAGTTGGTTTTTCATTAAGTCTTGTATGAATAAAGTTGTTTATGCAGATTAGTTTGTCTGCGTAGACTGGGAGGGGTTTTTGGGAGAGTTTTTCATAGATGGAATGAGCTTGTTATTTTTAATTGGGAGGAATGGGTCAGGAAAAAAACTTGACTTTCCACATAAAATTTTTCCTAAAAACATATTGAATAAACCGTTTTCTATATTATTATATCATTACCAAAGAGTCATGTATAGCTAACTGAATAAGTTGAAAACCCATTAAATTCATTAAACTGTCAACAAACAGATCCAAAGTTATACAACCTGAAACGTTAGAACTTCACGAAACTAATTCTAAAACACCTGGTTAAATTACATTACAATAAATCTAAAAAAAATACATCGTTTTATTAATATTATCATATGGTATTTCCTTGAGAATGTGTTATTAGAGCTCGTGAAAATCAAGTTTTGTTGTAATAACAATTAAAAACGTTATTTGGACCACGTTTGAACTCACCAAATTTGTAACAATCAGTAACATGCAAATATGCATATTTGGATACGAATCTTTTTCAAAAAGAAAAAGTTAAAACTTTTTGTCATAACATAAAATTGTATGGTTAAGCAAAAAAAAAAAATACAATGCCTCATAAAGGCAAAATGATTAAAATGTGATGGTATTTATATAATCTTACGATTATTTATATATACATACATACATACATCTCATTTTCCTGACATTAATCAAATCATCAACGATGGTCGAGATGTTAAAATTATTTCCACAAATTTTCTTTTGTATTGTTGTCCCAAATTAATCATTTATATTAGTTGGTTCGATTAAACCAAATGTAACATAATATAAACATAATTCATTTGACATCCCTGTAGAATCTTCCATTGAAAAGGATCTACAGTTTTATCAGTTACATCTCAAATTTAAAACAACATGATTAATATTTCATATAATGGGTGTGAGATTGGTACAATAAAGATGTTACGGGAGATAGTACAAACCCCTTTTCCATGACAAAATTGATACGCCCACAGAAATGATAATAAATCTTCATATTTTAATATACGGTGAAAATAAATATATTAATTTATTTTGTTCATAGAAATCAAAAGAATTATATAAAGTGACTTATGTTAAGTATAAATAGATGGTGCATTGAATGGAGAAGGGATAGTTAAGAGCATATATAGCTTTAGAAAACTAGAAGAAGCAATTAAGTGTTTCCCCTTTTTCTTCTTCTTCTTCGATATCAATGCCACCATCATCTTTGCCGGAAAATGATGCCGGAAAAGCTCATCACCATTCTCCGCCACAAGCTAAACCCACCCAACGGAAGCCCGGTGGTTGGAAATCCATGCCTTACGTTCTAGGTACAAAATTTTCTTACTTCCATCTTATTTCTTTTACATTTCCATCTCTTCGTAACCGGTTTGCTATGTACTATCGATCTAACCGTAGCATCGCACAGTCTAAATGAGAAGACGGACCTCATAACTTTCAAATTTGTAATAACTTGTCCAAAATGAAAAAATAGTAGATTTTGAGCTCCTTATATGCTTAATTTTGCGGATTATCAATAATTTTCGGTTTAAAGTTGATTTAAAGGTCTTATTTTTTAATTAAAATTATAGAAAAATAAAAATAATTAATGTTGGCAGGAAATGAATCATTTGAGAGATTGGCGTCAATTGGGTTGATAGCTAATTTCACGGTGTTTCTAATGACGGTGTTTCATATGGATCAAGTATCATCATCAAACTTGATCAACATTTGGTCAGGAGTTACCAACTTTGCCCCTCTCGTTGGTGCCTTCATCTCTGATGCCTACGTTGGCAAATTCTGGGTCATTGCCTTCTCTTCCTTCGCCACTCTTATGGTAATTTTTCCGTATACCAAGGGTAATATTGTCGTGCGGGTATTAATAAAATCTAGATTTATAAGTTCCAACACTTCACGTTATTTATTTCAATAATCATGTTTTATGAAATTGGTTGGACTTTTCCAATATTAAATAACAATTCCTTTGATATCTTTCTCTCTCTCTCTCTCTCTCTCTCTCTCTCTCTCTATATATATATATATATATAAAGAGAGAGAGAGATAGAAGGGTAAGATCACGCATAAAGTTGGTTAATTTGTAAGAAGGCGAGAAGTTTCACAAATCATATGTGATACAAGCATGTTGCATTGACCCGCTATATAATAGATGGCCTTTCCCACGATTATTGGTCACATTGTCTGTGTTCTTTTGAATATGTATCATACGTGATTTTACTCTTATAATCACATATGATCTTGAAACTTTTTGATTTGTTGTAAATTGATCGTCTTTTCATTTACCAAATATAAGGTTTGTATGGTATGTAATATTTGCATGTTTTGTATTTGAAACACACACACACTCTCTCTCTCTCTCTCTCTCTCTCTCTCTCTTTGTATTTATATATAGAAAGAGAAAGAGAGAGAGAGAGAGAGAGAAAAGGGGGGGGGGTTTAAGCAAGAACAAAGTTAAAATAAAAGAACTTAAGTACATATATCAAATGTGATTTTATATTAAAATTCACATGTGAATAAAAAAAATCGAAATGATCAAGGGAGTCTGCACGCTTTGCCTAACGACCTCAAAGGTTTGACCGTGCTTTAATCACATGTGATATAAAAGTTCTCATGATTCCTTATTTTGATCATGTTCTCGTTAAAATAAAATTATAAATGATTTGGTCATTCTTGTATATATTTTTTTTCATTTTTATTTGATCAAACGTTGTTAATTGACTATACATATATAAAAGTAAAAAAGATAAACTAAACCCATAAAAGGAGAAACATACGTCAGTGAAACGATGTGGTGTGACATTGATATTCAATTATTCGAGAAAAAAAGACATTTGATTATTTAGTGGATGACCAAAATGAGACCTTTTCTCTTTATTTTACTACTTTTTAAATATTATGTCATGGATTCTGAACAATTATTGAATACACAAAATCAACAACGATTTAAAAAATCATTTTTAAATATGTTTTAATTAATTAATCGTTGATATACAGGGAATGGTGACCATGACCTTAATCGTTGCACTTCCGAAATTGCATCCTCCAGCATGTTCCCCTCAACAAACCATACTTAACCAATGCAAGGGTCCGACAAACAAACAGTTTGGCTTCTTGGTCCTAGCCCTTGGCTTCATAACCATAGGAAGCGGTGGGATACGACCTTGTAGTTTGCCTTTCGGGGTTGACCAATTCGACCCAACCACGGATGAAGGTAGGAAAGACATCAATAGCTTCTTCAATTGGTACTACACCACCTTCACTATCATTGTGCTCATTGCCTTGACCCTTGTGGTCTACATCCAAGACTCCGTGAGTTGGGTCTGGGGGTTCGGTATCCCAACCATGCTCATGGTCTGCTCCATCGCCTTGTTCTTTGTGGGTACTAAAATTTACATTTATGTCAAACCCGAGGGCAGTGTTTTTTCCTCCATCGTTCAGGTGCTCGTTGCGGCTTACAAGAAACGTAACCTTCCACTTCCCAAAGGTGAAAAAACGTTTATTAGAGGGAATTTTTACGATCCACCTATGAAAGGAACGCATAAAATTCCAAAGTTGCCTCTAACTGACAACTTGAGGTAATTTATATATCTTGTTTCAAATATGTTTGATACATACAATTATATATATACTTGAAATCACGTGAGACCAACCTGTTTTCGTGAGACCATTTTTTTACACTTGAAACTTCACAGCAAAACTATGTGAAGATAACCTTCACAGTGTTTTTTCTGTGGGTTTATAATTTAACTAACATTTATTTCTTTGTGGATCTAGGTGTTTGAACAAAGCGGCAATCGTATTGGATGGTGAATTAAACCCTGATGGATCTGCAGTGAGTTTATGGAACCTGGCAAGTATACAACAAATTGAGGAAGTAAAGTGTCTGGTGAAAGTTATCCCGATATTAGTTTCTGGTATTATTTGTTTCACCGCGATGGTCCAACAATGGACTTTCACGGTGTCACAAGCCCTAAAAATGGACCGCCATTTGGGTCCACACTTTCAAATACCAGCAGGATCAATCAATATCATTTCCATGATCACCATCGGGATATGGCTCCCCATCTACGACAGGATCCTTGTCCCATCCCTTCGAAAAATCACCAAAATCGATAGCGGGATCACCCTCCTCCAACGTATCGGAATCGGTATCGTTTTCTCCATCTTGTCGATGATTGTTGCGGCATCGATCGAGACAATGAGACGCAATTCGGCAAATAACCATCACGGCTCAGACGGGGTTGCACCCTTGTCAGTCATGTGGCTCGCACCACAACTGATCTTGTTGGCATTTGCCGAGGCATTCAGCATTCTCGGCCAACTGGAGTTTTATTACAAGGAGTTCCCTGATCACATGAAAAGCGTGGCTACGGCGATGTTCTCCGTCACGGCTGGTGTTGCAAATTACGTGAGTAGCTCGTTAGTTACGACGGTGCATAAGGTCACCGGAAAAGATGGAAAACCGGATTGGTTAACGGCGGATATAAATGCAGCTCGAGTTGATTACTTTTATTATGTGATAGCTGGATTAGGGGTGTTGAATTTGGTGTATTATCTCATAGTTGCTTCTCGATATCAATACAAGACAAAGATCAAAGATATCGATGAAGATGAATCCCAATTCGATGTGGAGTTGAATGGTATCAAAATTTGAAGTCACTTTGCTTTAGGGGTATAATAATAGACACTTTTTGTATATCACCAGTTTTTTATTATTATTATTATTATTATTATTATTATTATTGTTGTTGTTGTTGTTGTTGTTGTTGTTGTTGTTGTTGTTGTTGTTGTTGTTGTTGTTGTTGTTGTTGTTGTTGTTGTTGTTGTTGTTTAGATAGTAAAGAAATATGAACCGAACTGTATGAGATGGATATTTGAGTACCGGAACCAAACAATTGTTCTTTAAGCTAATATCGACTAATCTACCACCAAAATTAATCATTCACCTTAATGGTCGACATAACTTGGGGTAAGTCCTTCAAATATGAATTAGTAAAAAAAACATCCATAAAAGATAAAGTCATATATAAATCATAACGATTTTAAAGTTTCAAGATCTTCAAACGTTTCCTCAGTATGATCAAAGTTTTCAAATTATATATCTGATTTGGATCTGATAAATTATGAGTACCTATAAATTAAAAATTGAGACTGACAATATTTGGGGTTTTTCGGTTTCTGATCAAAGTAGTTGTAGCCCCTTTGTTTGATTGTTAAAAACAATATAAGCAATATTATTAAAAACATATATATATATATATATATATATATATATATATAATGAAGGCAAATAATCGTATCAGAAAGAAAGTTAAGATGAGAAGCGTAAGAAGGAATCTAAACTCTTGATCGTCTTTTATTTCAAACTCATCCATTAATCATGTTTGATACGAAGATTGATATGATATATCGCATCCTAATATATATTAAAGGAGAAGATCTTTTATTATACTTTTTATTTTAACTTTTCTTCTAATTAAAACCCAATCCATTTAATAAAATATATAAAGGTCATGAAATGATTGTGTAGTCGAAGTTGTTACGATAAACAGGGGCAGATGGATGCATGCTGACCACCACCACATCACATGTACTGTGGAAATTAAATGTCAATATATGATCATATGTATTTATTTTATTTCTCTATAAAATTGTCACATATGTTTTTATTCTTTTTTCAAAGTTCATGGATTTTTGAAACTCTTGAAAACATGGTAATTCAGGTTAGTAATATAGGGTCTCTGTTTATTGGTAGCTTAATAAGCTTAATGTGATTCACAATTTATTTTATAAGTTGTATATGATTGTTTGATAGTAGCTTAATAATATAGAATGTGGTTTATTCAATAAGCTTTTAAGAAAACTTTATACATAAAGCCAAAAAAAAAATTAAACATGCTCTTGTAAATAAAAATTAATGTACCTTCCATCAAAGAAATTTTTTTCCCAATATATACAAATAGATTAATTCAAACAAACAACGCTATTAATTCATGACTTAATAGAAAACCAACCAAACAACCCCTTAATTATGCAGTTATACGCACATAATATAATCAAAATTGATGTAAACCTTCTTTGTACATAAGCATTCTCTAATTACATGTTTGTTGATATATATATATATATATATATATATATATATACTAGAAACGAACTCGCGCAATGCAGCGAGATACATCGTGATTTTAATATTTCATTTTATTCTTTATCTCAGTCGATGTTATATTATATGGCTTTATGTGATTTATTTTTGAATAAAATATATGTTTGAAGATATCATAAAAATTTGACAAAAATATATCGATATTAGTATCAAATTAACTAATTGAAATTCCTCATTTTTT